ATGTGTTGGGTGGTTATTTCATGACTCAACACAACTCAAGAACCTGTGTTTTGGGGAGAGAGGGCTAAGCAGGTGCCTTTCCTCTCTGGAAAGCTGCACCATATAGTTGAAAATAGCTCAAGTGAAGATAGTAGACAGACTTCTGTTGGAATCTTGGTTCTCATGTTACCAGCTCTATGCATTGGGACAGGTGATGTGTTTTCTCTAAGACTCAGCTGTGCTTTGGAAGAAGGAGAAACAATTAAGATTACAGTTAAGATTAAATGAGATAAACTGCTTGATCTGGAAGGTAGTAACAGCTCTCTAAACCTAAATTGCCAGGGAGGGCCACACACACAGAGCTCACACCTTTAGCAAGATAGACAGTAGTACGAATCTTTAATTACTTTTATATAAAGGAAGCAAATTACAGCAGTTACTATCACTGCTGCAAACCCGTGAGTGCACAGAGCGGGCACACAAAGGCCTAAGACACTGAAGAAAGGGGAGGATAAAGTGGTTAGCACAAAGCACAGACAGAATGATCCACAGATCCCAGTGTGGGTAGAAACCCCTCAAAAGAAAATGGAAAGCTGTAGGCAGTGACTGACTGCTGAGAGGGTTGAATCCATCTCCAGCCAAACCCCTGAGAGGTTAGCCAGTCCCAAGTGGTCAGCCCTGAACATCTGTACATACAAGCAACACTAAATGAACTCGCAAATGGTGTGTGTGTGTGTGTGTGTGTGTAACAGTGATAAATGGATCATAAATTTGAGAGGAGTTGAACAGGGAGAGGTGTGGTTGAAATGAAAATGTAATACTCATGTATGAAAATGCCAGACAATAATATAAATAAAAATAAGTTTGACCACTTAAAGCATCAAAGAAAATTATCCATTTAGGGAAAATGTCTGAGCACCAGCTGCTAAATACAAATGCAGGCCTGGCCTGGGCTTAGTACAGAAGAGGAGGAGGAAGCTGAGGATGGCAGGGTGTGCGGGTAGACCATGGGGAAAGGGAAAGGGCAAAGAGAGCCACCTAAGGCATACATTCCAAAACTAAGACAATAGACATGGGAAGAAATGCAGCAAGATTTTATTGAACTTGTGAAAGAAGTTTTTGCTCTTTGATTTTTGTCAGCTTGAACAAACAACCTTATACATATTGGGGAAATGCTTCCATCTGCCTAGGTTGTAGACAAATCTCTAAGGCATTTTCTTTATTAATGATTGATGTGGTTAGGCCCAGTCCACTGTGGGCAGTGCACCAGGTAAGTGCCCCTGGCCTGTTTAAGAAAGCAAGCTGAGCAAGGCAGGAAGCACTGTTACTCCATGGTTTTGTTCCAGTTCCTGCCTTGAATTCCTACCCAGAGTTCCCTTCACAATAAATTGTAAACTGTAAGATGAAATAAACCCTTTCTTCCCCAAGCTGCTTCTGATCATAGTGTTTATCACAGCATAGGAACCTTAAAACAAAGTTGAAGGAAAGATAATATAAGCTGTCCAAGGGAGAATAAATTCAAAACCTAATAAGAGCCTTTGGTGAAAAGGAAAATAATCAAGGGTGTGAAAGTAGGATGCAAAAGCAAGGAAGGGGAACTTTAAAAGTGGCCAACGTAATATAGGCTGGAACATCAACATATGTGTCACTGGAGTCTCCCAAGGTGATGCACAGAGTCTCCAACTGTGCAGTAAAGCGGCTCAGCTACCATGGAAGAGCCAGAATAGCTCTGAGTCAGCATGCTGGGTGATGTTAGACTTTAAAGATAGTTGTTTCTGTCTGGACCTTTAAGGGGGGCAGAAGTCACTAATAAAGTTAGAGCCGTGTTCAAGATACATGCTGTTATGGTTTAAACCATAAAATAAAATGCTGCGGGTCCCCTAGTGGCTGCAGCAGGCAACAGGTCCCGAGACCACACCGCAGGTCCCCCAGGCAGCAGGCAGCAGGTCCTGAGAGCAGACAGTCTCAGGCAGGGACAGTGCAGTTCCCCAAGTAGCTGCAGTGGGCCACAAGGGGCAGCGAGTCCCAGGCAAGGAGCCACGTGGAGGGTGAGAGACCTCGGTGGGGCAGTCAGTCCCATGAGGAGAGACAGACAGATGGGCACACCATAAGACCACACCGCAGGTCTCCAAAGGAAGGGAGCAAGACAGAGACGTGGATAGGCATGCCCATGCAGAGTGAAGTTGGATATTTATTTGGTGGGTTATGGAGGGGAAAGGGAGCAGAGAGAGAGAGAGAGAGAAACAAGGGGAAAGGGGAGAAGGGAAAGACAGAAGCTACCTCTGAGAAAGAGGGGAGGGGAGGAGAAGGGGAAAGGAGTTGGAAAAGGAAGGGACTCAGGCTGGAAGCTGAAGATCAGCTTGCCTTGGAGGATGGGGGAGGGAGTGGGCATGGCTTGTCTCTTAAAGGGACAGAGCAGACCATTACACATGCAGTTCAGCAGCACTTTCAGAGCCTGAGCTGGCTAACCTGCCCTTCCGACATGTGGACAGATTGGAAGGTGCATAGCACACAATTCTATTTTAATGTATATCCATGAATAAAACGTAAGTTTCCAACACTTTTATTCCAGACAAAGAGAAAATAATAGTAACCAAAATGTATGTAGAAAGTGGGACTCATAAATACTATTTAAAATAGACTGACCACGTGGTAAAAATTTTAAGTAAGCAAAAAAGATTTACAATAATATACACACAGGTAACTACTTGAATGAGAAACATGCTTTCCTAGTCTTCCTAATTCGGAGAGTGGAAATACTATGCAAGGAAAGTTTGAAGAATAAAGATGCTAATTACAGAAGAACAAAAAGTTGAGTTTGGATATATTAATCATATTAGTGGACATTGTCTTATTCAAAAGAAAACTTCACACAACTTTTTCTGCAAAACCTAGTTCAGTCTATTTGAGGCATATGTAGAACACAGTGATTCAAAAGATGTGCAACCCCCCCACACTGAGACAATGGGGCTGTTCTATCGGGAACTCACCAAGGCCAGCTGGCCTGGGTCTGAAAAAGCATGGGATAAAACCTGACTCGCTGAACATAGCAGACAATGAGGACTACTGAGACCTCAAGAACAATGGCAATGGGTTTTGATCCTACTGCACGTACTGGCTTTGTGGGAGCCTAGGCAGTTTGGATGCTCACCTTACTAGACCTGGATGGAGGTGGGTGGTCCTTGGACTTCCCACAGGGCAGGGAACCCTGATTGCTCTTTGGGCTGACAAGGGAGGGGGACTTGATT